TCCCCAATAAAGGATATTTTGCACTCCTGGCTCTCTCTGCTGGGGACGGAGGTGTCCGGGGGGGGCATGGGAGCATCTTCACCTTCCTCTTGGCCAGAAGATGCTCCTGTTGCCCCCAGGGACTGCCAGGAGCCCCGTGCCCCCTGTCTCTGGGGTGCCCCCTGCCTTGGCAGCATCCTTCCTTTTGGGCTGAGGTGGGGGGGGTTGGTAGGAGCCCCCCCTCCCCACCATCCCGTGCAGGGTAACTCCTTCCTTCCCTTCCAGGTGCAGAAGAACCCCAAAAGGTGCCAGTTTGGTGTCGTCCTTCCCCAATAAAGGATATTTTGCACTCCTGGTGCTCTCTCCTGAGGGTGGGGGGGCATCTTCATCTTCCCCTTGGCCAGGGGATGTTCCTGTTGCCCCCCCCAGGGGCTTCCAGGAGCCCTGTACCCCCTGCCCCCTGTCTCTGGGGTGCCACCTGCTTTGGCAGCATCCTTCCCTTTGGGCTGGGACTGGGGGGGGCTGGCAGGAGCCCCCCTCCCCACCATCCTGTGCAGGGTAACTGCTTCCTTCCCTTCCAGGTGCAGAAGAACCCAAAAAGCTGCCAGTTTGCTGTCATCCTTCCCCAATAAAGGGTATTTTCTACTCCTGGCTCTCTCTGCTGAGAGCTGGGGGGGGGGTCTGGGGGGCTGCATTGGAGCATCTTCATCTTCCACTTGCCAGGGGATGCTCCTGTTGCCCCCCAGGAGCCCCCCTGCCCCCTGTCTCTGGGGTGCTGCCTGCTTTGGCAGCATCCTTCCCTTTGGGCTGGGACTGGGGGAGCTGGTGGGAGCCCCCCCTCCCCACCATCCCGTGCAGGGTAACTCCTTCCTTCCCTTCCAGGTGCAGAAGAACCCAAAAAAGGTGCCAGTTTGGTGTCATCCTTCCCCAATAAAGGGTATTTTCTACTCCCGGCTCTCTCTGCTGAGAGCTGGGGGGGGGTCTGGGGGGCTGCATTGGAGCATCTTCATCTTCCACTTGCCAGGGGATGCTCCTGTTGCCCCCCAGGAGCCTTATGCCCCCTGCACCCTGTCTCTGGGGTGCCCCCTGACTTGGCAGCATCCTTCCCTTTGGGCTGGGACTGGGGGAGCTGGTGGGAGCCCCCCCTCCCCACCATCCCGTGCAGGGTAACTCCTTCCTTCCCTTCCAGGTGCAGAAGAACCCAAAAAAGGTGCCAGTTTGGTGTCATCCTTCCCCAATAAAGGGTATTTTCTACTCCCGGCTCTCTCTGCTGAGAGCTGGGGGGGGGTCTGGGGGGCTGCATTGGAGCATCTTCATCTTCCACTTGCCAGGGGATGCTCCTGTTGCCCCCCAGGAGCCCCCCTGCCCCCTGTCTCTGGGGTGCCCCCTGCCTTGGCAGCATCTTTCCCTTTGGGCTGGGACTGGGGGGACTGGTGGGAGCCCCCCCTCCCACCATCCTGTGCAGGGTAACTCCTTCCTTCCCTTCCAGGTGCAGAAGAACCCAAAAAGGTGCCAGTTTGGTGTCATCCTTCCCCAATAAAGGATATTTTGCACTCCTGGTGCTCTCTGCTGAGGGCAGGGGGGGCTGCAGAGGGGGGCATGGGAGCATCTTCATCTTCCTCTTGGCCAGAAGATGCTCCTGTTGCCCCCAGGGACTGCCAGGAGCCCCGTGCCCCCTGTCTCTGGGGTGCCCCCTGCCTTGGCAGCATCTTTCCCTTTGGGCTGGGACTGGGGGGACTGGTGGGAGCCCCCCCTCCCACCATCCTGTGCAGGGTAACTCCTTCCTTCCCTTCCAGGTGCAGAAGAACCCAAAAAGGTGCCAGTTTGGTGTCATCCTTCCCCAATAAAGGATATTTTGCACTCCTGGTGCTCTCTGCTGAGGGCAGGGGGGGCTGCAGAGGGGGGCATGGGAGCATCTTCATCTTCCTCTTGGCCAGAAGATGCTCCTGTTGCCCCCAGGGACTGCCAGGAGCCCCGTGCCCCCTGTCTTTGAGGTGCCACCTGCCTTGGCAGCGTCTTAGCCCCCCTGCCCCCTGTCTCTGGGGTGCCCCCTGCCTTGGCAGCATCTTTCCCTTTGGGCTGGGACTGGGGGGACTGGTGGGAGCCCCCCCTCCCACCATCCTGTGCAGGGTAACTCCTTCCTTCCCTTCCAGGTGCAGAAGAACCCAAAAAGGTGCCAGTTTGGTGTCATCCTTCCCCAATAAAGGATATTTTGCACTCCTGGTGCTCTCTGCTGAGGGCAGGGGGGGCTGCAGAGGGGGGCATGGGAGCATCTTCATCTTCCTCTTGGCCAGAAGATGCTCCTGTTGCCCCCAGGGACTGCCAGGAGCCCCGTGCCCCCTGTCTTTGAGGTGCCACCTGCCTTGGCAGCGTCTTTCCCTTTGGGCTGGGACTGGGGGGGCTGGCAGGAGCCCCCCCTCCCCACCATCCTGTGCAGGGTAACCCCTTCCTTCCCTTCCAGGTGCAGAAGAACCCTAAAAGCTGCCAGTTTGGTGTTGTCCCTCCTCAATAAATGGCATTTTGCACTCCTGGTGCCCTCTCCTGAGGGTGGGGGGGCATCTTCATCTTCCCCTTGGCCAGAGGATGCTCCTGTTGCCCCTGGGGGCTTCCAGGAGCCTTGTGCCCCCTGCTCCCTGTCTCTGGGGTGCTGCCTGCCTTTGGGCTGGGGGGGGGGGGTTGGTAGGAGCCCCCCCCTCCCTCCCCACCATCCCGTGCAGGGTAACAAGTGTCGCTTGATGAATAGGAGACAAAGGGGGATTAGGGAGCAGCGGGGAGATGATTATAAACCCATTGACCTGCCCTTGGTCTGGGGGGCAGCAGGTATTTGTGGAGGGTCCCGG